TAGTGGGGACCAGTGATGAGGGTGATTTAATGGTTTAAACACCCAAACATTTAGCATCCAAAAAATCTATGCATTGACTTCCTATTTACATAGTCTCCTTCATTGATGGAAGGAGCTTTAATGTGAATGTGGGTTCCATCAATGCACCCAATCACATTTGGGAAACCCTGAAATTGAAAGTTATATAATTAGAAACATTTAAAAATATTGTGACTGTATAAAGTAGGGTTAGATTAAGTAGTGCTATATGTAACTAAAATGGTCAGGGGATGCCATGCTCTGTCACCTCTCTGAAACAAACTAACCCTGGAACATAACCTGCTCCGGAGCAGGTTAAGTTCAGAGAGTGAGTTGCTATGACTACTAACATACCCTGAAAGTTACCTCCGTTTTTGGAACCGAAAGTTGAGGTTATCCGCTTACTTACTCTTAAACATACCCGGGTATGTCACATAACCTGCTTTCTGGAATACACCCCTGGTCCCCCTTTGTGTCCTGCAAAAAAAAAAAAAAAAAAAACACTCCCAAAAGGTAAAAGCAATCAAATAATCGAACGATTGAGCAAGGAACATTAATCGATAATCACAAAAAGAAATAATCACAAAAAAACATGTATTAGAAATACATTCTCTTGTCGTCACATCTTACATATCATATGTTTATTTACTACTATTTATCTACTTATTTATTTACAATTACTTATCTACTTTTGTAACCACCACACCTTCCCAGCCCGAGGTATTCCGGATTAGTTCCGCCCACTACCAGAGAAACCGACCTATCTTCCGCTTATTCTTAAAAGCTGATAAATTCAAAATGAACTTTATTTTGACAGGATAATACAACAAAGAATATCGTTTACATGTAGCGCGTCGATTCTGCGAGGTAGGCTATGTAATGTAAGGCTCTCGCTCTCTTTCTCTTTGCATTTGTGTGAGAAACCCAGCGCTCTCAGCAAATCTACCGTCAGTTGTGCGCCTTCAAACTAGAGTGTACTGCACATAGACAGTAAAAGAAGGTAACTGTACGTCAAATACAGACGTTGCACACATCAATTGAGCTGAATAGAAATAGGATCTCTTGACGGAGAGCGAAACTCTCAAGCGAATATGTTCAGCGAGTGAAAATATAAACTTATATTTATCCTCTAACTCACATTGGAGAGAAAAATCTAAGAATTTATTAGCCAATGGCTGATAGACATTATTTAGTCGCCCAGAGTGAAGATTTAGTCGTATGGCGAGTGATTTACTCGCATTGTAGAGGGTTGTTCTAGTTCTGTCCCAAAAACAAAACAAAGTAGAACAGTGCCATGTGGGTGGAAAGAGGGATCGGCTTCTGTGATGGTCCAATTGACACGACGACTCCTAACACCGCCCCTGTTTTGACATCTTTAGTTTGGAAGTTGGTAACTTAGTCAGGAATCAGGATTTTTATTCTATTTCATTAGAATTCATATGCAAACGACTTTCAACGGTAAGTGTTTTCAATTTATTAAATCGAGATGACTGATTGTTCGTGACTGTTGTAGCCTAACGTTAGGTATAGCCTAGATTAAATATTTTTGTGTGCAAATTGTATCATGAAGCTGCTGATTTCAGACATCGTTATGCACAGCGAAGATATCTCATATCTTTTAAAACATTCACTGTGTTTGAGAGAAATAAACTGTAATTCGTCAACATTTAAATTTATTTAATAATGATCCAAAATGTTAAATTACCTTTCTTACCTAATTGGTCGCTATTGTATATCATTACCTATTTAGATTAAGCATGTCAAAAAAGATTTCAAAAATATTTACTATATATTAAAGTTGTATGTATATAAATAAGTTATATATACGGGGTTTGCCAACTTTGGCATGAGACACTGCTTACAGGCAGGGTTAGCAGGTTGGCGCAACAAAACATGGTCAACCAAAAATACCCCGTCGTTTGGGGGGTCACGCCAAGCAAGTATAGGGTTGTGTCCGATATCTTCCCTATACCCTTAAATGTTACATATGTTGATACACTTTTATTGTAGAACTCTGTTTACAAAATAAAAAATAAAAAAAATGACTAAATAAAATAACCAAATAAATATGCTACCGATAGCCTATACTTAACTGAAATATAGGCAATTAAATAATAAAATAAATAACTAGAGAACTGGGTGACAAAAATCAACTTGAAAATAAATGCTATCTCATGAAATTAATTTGTACTGTTTTGTGTGAAAGTGAAGTAAAGATTCGTCCTTGTGCATTACAAGGATGCGCTCTCGCCGTCTCACGTCAATTGTCATTTAAAATAATCATAGACAGTAAAAGAAATGAACACAGCGACCCCATAGACTTCAACGGAGAAAAGTGAAGTCAATTAGAAGCACTCACTTCCTGATTGCCAAGCGAACTGCGCATGCTCAAACTGAGCTTGACGACGTAGATGTGACGTGAGCAACATGTCTCACAGTTGTAAGTCTTCTAGTAGCTGTGCCAAGGGGAATCTGAATCATTCCCTTCCAAATCTTGCAGAGCCGGAGATCGTGAGTATTAGCTGTCCATGAGCTAGCAGCAGGAACATTACAACTCTCTATGGGCTTCTCTTGACTTTATGCCTCCATGTCCCCCCCGATTGCGTGCAAGCTGGTTAGGTGAAGGCTTGTTAGCCAATGGCGGCCCCCAAATTTTAAAGTGCATTCTAGATTGCACTGGTAACCAATGAAGTGAAGCTAAGCCAGCGTGATGTGTGCCCTTTTACTGGTGAGGGTTAACATGGTTAAAAGCCTTGCAGCAGAGTTCTGAACAGTCTGGAGGCGATACAAATCTTTCTTATTAAGACAAATAATGGTAAAATTGTGACTCTCATAAAAGCTCTGCGATGAAGTTCAAATGTGTGCATGTCCTCCTCATAGAAGCTGAAAACACCACGAGTGTCACACGCGCTTCAAGTTTTAGCTTTACTTCTGTTTTGGCCTACACATTGAGCACTCATTCACAGAGACACGCAGAACATGCAGAGTTTATTTCAATAGCAGTCTTTTTGAGCTTGATTATTCATAGACACTAGTATTGAGATTTCATTCATTGTAGGCTACATCACTACTTTTGATTTATTAATTCAAAAATGGCCAAATTCCGGTTCCGCTTTACAGTAGGCTAATTCCGCGATTCGATCCGTGTCGCTGCATGCGCAAACACAGACGGGGTGAATTTATGAATTAAAGTTAGAAAGTTCTGTCACAAAACGATGTTTTTACGAATCCTCACGCTTTTTTAAGTGGGTATACAGAAATCCTTGATCTTTCCTAGTTGTATACAGCGTATACTTGCGTATCACGTACACCACTGGCTGCACTGCTTCCCCGCAAATCTCAAGCCCCGGAACACCCCGATAGAGTTAGTAAAATGTAGTAAAACGATCGAATAGTAAAACGTTTCCTAATATCGTTGTTGAGCAGAGGTTCAAACTCCGGTCCGAATGGCACTGCAGCTACTCTGTCACCGAGCATATTTATTTGTAAGAATTTTTATTTATATAGTAGCCTATATTTTATAAATTTTTTATTTTAGATCAACTAGAAATGTTTAATTTACAAATTTGTATTTTGACATGTAAGTCAATTAAAATTGGCTGAAGCCAGCGCAAATAGAGTGGTGCAGGTATGACACTTCTTTAGTCATTTTCTCAGAACTTTTGAACTAGAATAGTTTATAAGAGCACAATTAACATAACAAGGCTATGTTTGACGAGATAGCGTTTAATCTCCTCGACAGCCTCTGTAGTCCCATTTAGCCACTTGTTAGCAACCGCCTTTTTCAAGACATGCAACAGCTTAAAAAACGATTTCAATTACAAGTAGGGTGACATTGATGTATTTTACGTCATGGAATAAAACGTGAATGTGTCTTGAGCTTGTGTTCACCACAGACCTTATTTCAGCCATTTAACCAAAATACTGTTAAAAAACCCCAATGACTTCTGTTCTGGACGATGGAACCGGAAGTGCTAAAATGCTATCTCGCTTCTGTGTTTTGGCCTACAAAGTGATCATATACCTACACCACTTTATGGCGAAAGTCTTAGTAAGTTTAGTAAATTAGTAATAAATTTAATTAGTAAGAATTCTGACTGGCAGGTAATAGCTATTAGAATGCTAGCTAACCACCGTATATTGTTGGTAAAAACAATAGGGGCATCAATATACGTCTATGTTGGATCCTTAAAATGGATTATGTCATTGACTTTGCTCAACAAAGTTGACAAAGGTGATATACATTATCGCTTTATTTACATAGTTTAAAATAGCACTATGTAGGCTATACATCCTGTCATGTTTTCTACTAGAAGTGTACATGGACAGCATACTGTTTGTTGTTGAGTTATTGACCATGTCATATGATTTCTCATTACTTAAGAAATGAGACTTAACCACAAACCATGCAGTTTTTACACTGCAATATCACAGAAGTATTGCTGTATAATCAATCATATATCTTGGCCTAGGGTCGCCATTGCAATCTTGTTCTACTAAGATATACCTGCTTGCTCAAACCTGAAAATTAAAATGTTTGGCATTGACAGTTTATCCTTGATTTGATCTGTTTTAACTTGTCTTTTGTTCACGATTAATGTCCATAACTCAGGATTAAAAACACAAAGGACAAAAAAATGTTTTTATGTATTTGGATCTTTGTTTTATTCATTGGGCTTAGAGCATTGCATCACTTGTTTGAAAAAATTGATAAGATCCAGAAAAAACAGACACTAACCCTGAACACCTTTAAATCAGCAATTTATTCATGTTTATGTTGGTGTAGAACTCAGTACTGTAATTTTGTCATTTCAGCTTTATTCCAGAATGCAACTGTTGGAGTATTGCTATGTGTGAACCCCGGCAGAGACACTTAATTCATCTCCAGGAATCTACCGGTTACAAGAAAACTTTTAGTGGCAATCCATTTGACCAGCGGTGGCTCTGATCATAACTACTTTATCTAATATACTAAAGAAACCAGCACATACTCTTTGTCTCCACTTTCAAACTGAATAAATAAATCTGCATTTCACTTTATATGAATATGATTAAGTTAGGATTTATCTTATCCATTGCTGCAGTTGTCACTTTGAACTTTGAACTGTGTATCAGTGCGTGTGCTCGTGCTGAATATGAGGTTAATGGAGAATGCTGCCCCATGTGTGTGCCAGGTACAGTATACACTGTGTAATGTTTGGTTCTGCCTTAAAGGAACACGCCGACTTTTTGGAACTTTAGCTTATTCACCGTATCCCCCAGAGTTACATAAGTCCATACATACCTTTTTCATCTCTGTGCGTGCCATAACTGTCCATCGCACCCTCCACTAGCCTAGCTTAGCACAAAGACTGGATGTAAATGGCTCCAGCATACTAATCCCAATAAGTGACAAAATAATGCCAACATTTTCCTATTTACATGTTGTGATTTGTATAGTCACAGCATGTACAAATAATAAGGTCATGCGAGACACAGCCATCTTTTAACCGTAAAAAAACTGGAAACTATTCTCAGAAGGCGACACACTGCTATTTCTGCGGGGTGATTTGTTTGCAGCACCTGAGAAAGCCCCGTGGTGAGGAGCAGAGAGTTCGCTCAGAGTTGCGGTAAGAATTCATCTTTTTCATATTTTACCTTTGTAGGAACCCGTGTTCATCGGCATTGCACTGCAGAAACCAGCACCACTTGTTCTTCATGTCCTGCATTAACTTACACAGATGAACCCAATGGACTCACAGCATGTTTTCCCTGCTCTCTGTGTCCAGGTGAGCATGTTTCACAAAATGAAGACTTGAAATAAAGAAGCGATTTTTACAGAAATTAAAAAGTGTGTTATGGTTTCCACAGGACTACAAGGAGTAAGAATAAAGAGAAGCTGCACACGCTATGCAGATACTGTCTGTGAGTCACTGGAGGGATTCTACTGCATTGAGCAAAATAGAGGCAGCTGTACATATGCTGTGGAACACTCTGAATGTCACCCTGGACAATATATCAGACAAGCAGGTGGGTGAGGTGTATCTGTGTAGAATAGAGAGAATAGAATAGAAAGTGGCCATTATTAGTTTTGCTAAACATGTTGACAGATCCAAGTAGTACTTGTAATGCTACAGACTATAATTAAGAGAGTTATTGTCCTAATATCCTTACAGGAACAGCATTTACTGATACTGATTGTGGTAACTGTGCAGAAGGCACTTACTCTAATGGCTCTTTTACTACCTGTCAACCACATTCAAAGTAAGTGATTATCATTAAGTGTTAAAAAGATTGTTTTATAAAAGACTACAAATTCTAATATTGCTCTCACAAATTTACAGATGCGATAATGAGGGACTTGCAGAAATAAAATCAGGAACAATGTCATCTGATGCTGAATGTGGGAATTCAACAAGTGTTAATGCTTTTTACAGTTTTTTTAAATGGATTTCACACAATTTCTAAAATATAGCTCATTTTCTCAAAACTCTACACACAAAACCACATAACCTTCACACAACATGCAAAATATCACGCATCTCTTGCGAAAGCTAACACTTTATTCAAAACGATTTAAATTCTAAAAATTGTGTTTTGCATAGTAACTCTAACACAATTCATCAAATGATTAGCCATATACACCAACACGAATGTGAAAAATGTAAAACAGTATTATGTGCTTGTTCAGTGTGCAGTGGACTCTACAAGAGTTTGTCATGGCAGTCAAACATACAAGTATGTGCACAAATTACATATGTAAGACCGTAAAACTTGTTGAAGAGAAAATATCTGACCACATGGTCTATTGAGACAAAGGACCTTGGCAAATTAACATTTGAACTCTCTCACACACACACACACACACACACACACACTTCTTCCCCACATCCCCCACTCTCGCAGTGACACATAAAAACTCACATAAGAATGTATGGTTTAATGTGAATGATTATCATTGAGTATTATGTTTGGTATCATTTTAAAGGTCTCAGGGTCGCTGGTTCAGATGTCTCCTTCCCAAAGTATAAAACAAAAGGTAATAAGGTTTTTTAAGAGTTTAGGGATATCTGGCACACAAATGAATGTGGTCTCCTACTCCCAAGGTGTGAACTCAATGCTGATTTCCACTGTTAGCAAATGGTACCATGTAAATTTACTTCTGCCCCCAGTAAGTCTGGGGGGATGAACACAGTACATTTCCACTGTGAATACAGGTTTACATATGAAATGAGGTCTGGCTATTTAATGGAAGGCAGCAAGGGATCGTGGCTTTTTTCTGTATTTCAGATAGCCCGTGAGGTTTAGCTCATGTAGTTCATGTTGGGTTTGCATCTATTTCTCTAATCCTAAAACATTTGATGATTTGCATTGATTATCTTTCAATTGATTATGGAATTGTTAAAATACATTTACCTGACATAATAAATTGTTATATTTGATTATTCTAACAGGCTTTGATATTATTTTCATTGGAGATAAAAGAAACAGTCAAACATTAACGTATACTTAATGATGCACAGATATCATTGAAAAACACTTTCATTTATGGAGTCAGATGAAACGAGTTAATACATAAGATAAAAAGTATTGCATTTAATTATAAATAAGACGAGCAACGTCTTTTCCAGCAAAGTATGGGGATTTTAAAATCAGCATGAGGTTTGAACATCTTCACTTTCTTCTGCCGCTGTGGTAAGTCATTTTTTCTTCCCTCTTGAGAAGTGTTGAGAAAATGTTGTTTGCATTGTTATGGGTAGCTATAGGAAAGCCCTTTGTTTAGTCCAGAACTGAAATACGTGAGGACGTGATAAGCGACAGCGCAGATGAAGAATGAAAACCCTTGTTAATAGATTAAAGATATCCTTGTTTGCCTAAGCAACAAAAAACGAAACCTAAAATCGGAATAACATCTTCCAAATGTTTTTCGTGTAACGTTACTTGATGAGGAGCTGTAAAACAGCCTAAAAGTCTTCAAATCAGCCGCATGTTTGTCGCCATTGTGGTATTGGCTTTGTTGAAACGAACTAGCAACAATAAGAGAATCGGCAAACAACAGAAAGAAAAATCTAAGTTTGTAAACGGAGAAATCGGAGAACACGTGATTTTTTTTAATAAAAAGGCAGATCGATGCATTGTTTATAAAAAGCTAAATTTGGGAAAACAGGATGATATGATTTACAGGCTAAAAGCGGATCTCATGGCTAAGCTAAATGCTATTTTCCATGCTGCCTCCAAAAGGAGACTAAGCTAAATGCTAGTACGGTATTGCCCATGCTTAAACAAAGCTAATGCTAAATGCTAAATGCCATGCTGCATTCAGAAATGCTTAACCCTTTGCGTGACCGGCCCACCGGTGGGCACAAAAGCCACATTGAATAATATTCTAAACCTAAACAAATCTTGACAAACTCTATATTGCATTTGAAAGCTTCCACTTTAACACAGATGGGATTAAAAAGCAATAATACAATAATTTGTATTTTCAAATTTGGAGTTGTGTTTTAAACATTGTAATGCACTCATAGAACACACTTTATAGTTGTTTTGTGCTACTATATGTGCACATAGGCTAATTGTAAGTTTATTCTTTAAACACAGGATTGCTTTACTGTTTGTGTATTTGGAACACTTAGGTAAAGGCTGTTGATGTTATATTCTAGGCCGCGTATCCTGTGTGAACTGAATTAAACGCGTGTGTCTCTATGCTGAATGTGGTTATAATGTGATTCACAATGAATTTGAAAGTCAGAAACCACGAACGCGCATCTCATTGATCCTTGAAAGTTTTTAAAACAGAAACTCTTCATGTTCAGAAAACGAAATATTGTCACGTTTGAATTAATTCTGAATGACTCTGAAAGACTGTTTTTTCCATAGATTATTGGATTCGTATATTTCCACATCTTTCGCGTCAGATTAGCGACGGCTAATATCCAATACCATTTTAAGTGTACTTGAATGAGGAGACGGGTAGTTTCCGTCTAGAATCAGCTAATGCTGTTTGATCTAGATTTGGGTACGTCTAAATACCTCTGTTCTAATTTAATGTTACTTTAGATAAGTGCACGCTACTAAAGTAAATTATTGAATTAAGTTCCTGAGGTGGCATTCAAGGGGGCTATGTAGATGTCTTCGATTGTGTACGTGTGAATTACGGCAGATCCCAGATATTTAGCCAAATTACCTCTGAATTGGTTATTGGAACTGACGGGAGTGTGCCGTGCGGCCTTGGGAGAAGGAACGCTGAGCGATATAGATTCCCTGATCTAATCGGATAAAACTAAAATTAAGAGTTCAAAAGAATAATCAAACGTTAAAATGGCCATTTAAAAAGACTAAATGAGAAGAAAAGGTATTCGAAACCTAGCAAACAGAAAAGATAAACAGCGAATGTACACCTTATCAGCCCTGAGCCAGAAAGCCTTTTCATATTCAAAGCTTCAGGGAACGAAATTTCCCCAAATATAAATTGGAACATGTATAATGATCCTGCCCTGTTTACATTGTGGGCCGAAAAGGTCGAGCCTACACTGTACAAACTCAGTAAAAAAGGTCTTAACGTGGACGCTATTGACAATGAAATTGTCACTTGGTGGAAAACCGTGGGTAGTAAACAGAAGAAATCAAAACATGGTGAAATAATTGAGGCTTTAAACTTCATAAGCTATAAACGGCTAGATAAGTCAACAACATTTCTATCTTCGCTTATGGATGTTAAATGTGAAGAAGTGCATTCTAAAAATGCAGAGGCAAAAATGTCTGAGGCAAAGATTCAAGATCTTCAAACACAGCTAGATAAATTACTAGCTGAGCAGTTAGCCCTGACTGAAAAGTGTAAAAATCACAAATACACCATCGCAGATCTTAAGACTCAACTAAATGCTAAAAAGTCCATGTCTCCCAAAAAGCTCAACAGCGATGGGACTAAAAATGTGCACTTCTTAAATGAGCCCGCCTGCCCTAACAATCCTGTATCTTTTCAGACAGGTGAAGCATGTGATAGAGTTTTGAACAGAGTGCCTGTTTCAGCCTTTAAGGTGATACGGCACCCAAATGGCACAGAATCAACCATTCGGCGTCCTCTAACGGTAACTGAATGTAGCTTGTTTAAAGCAGAGATCGGACCATTGCCCTTAAAAAAGAGCCATTCGAACCATGGTGGAGACGCATTGTTAGTCTAAAACATGCATTTCAGCTTGAACCAAAAGATATTTGGCAAATTGTTATCAGCTCAATTCCAGAGGTTCTGAACTATAAGATACCACAGGCGTTGATGACAGGCAACATTGTGCAGTCAGTGTATCAAGATGAGCCTGAGGGTGAAATCTTTAATAGACTAAAACGATGTCTTCGCGATCTGCGCGGTTGTAGTCCTGTTGGATGGGAATTGATTTTCAATCGGAAACAGAATACTGAAGAATCGTTCGAGACATATGCAGAAAAAATGTTTGAACTGTTTGAGGAGTATTCTGGAATTGAAGGTGTTAACCACAACAATGTAACTCTCCTTGACTTACTACTTACAAATGCAGGACCGCGTGTACAACAATCGCTCATGTATGGTGCTTCTCCAGCATAAAATACATTCGAAGGTATTGTTAGCTGGGCAACAAGAATTGAGTCACGAAAACAGATGCATGGTGAGGTAGCTGTGTTAGAATGTCATGAAAATCCTCCATTTGCAGGAGAATTCAGAAAGCCACACGGTGAAAAACTGAGCAGACTCTGTAATTCCTGTCACAAAACAGGCCATACAGAGGAGAAGTGCTGGTCATTGGGCAGAGGCAGACCTCCACCCTATTTCAAAAAACGCAGACAGCCACACTCTGATGACACAAACCAGCGCTCTGCAAGTGACCAAAGCTCAAATGCATCTAAAACCCTCACTGAGCTATCAACTTTGGTCACTCAAGGCCTTCAGCTATTAGCGTCATTTGCTAGTCGGGTAACAGCCCAATAGCAAATGGCTCAATAGTTTAACATCTAAATTCATTGAATCTGTCACATTTTTCCCTCAAAGGTACTGACACGAGAACGAGCAGAGACTCGTCAGAGACCAGAAACAATATAATTTCATTTATATTCTTAAATTCTAATATACATTATATTGTAATCGCCAAGCAGGCATTAATTTGAGAAGTATGACATTGACATTAATCCTTACAGTTCGATTTCGTTGACCTGCTACCCAGTGCCAAAAGGGCGGAGGTGTGTTTTATTACTTTTTGCCTTTAAAAAACACTCCCAGAAGTGTGGCACAGGTAATAGCCAACTGATCAAGGAACCAAATTTAGAAGGAGGGTGTGAACTAAACATCAGACAGACCACAGCCTTTTGCAGGTTTACTTCTGCAATTCCTCAGGGGACGGATGCCAGGACGGCCGGACCTCACGATTGTTAGAACATAACCTGAGATTCGGGAGATGGGTGAAAAGACACTTCAAAGGCCATTTACATCTCACAAT